CATCACACTTTCCAGGTGAGTTCATTCCCCTATATTTTCACGTTTTTACTACATTTTAGGGGGAGAAATACAAGTGAAACGCAAGAAAAACTTACATTGCAAATGTTATACTTTACATGCAAGGTTGATAATACATTAAGGTTTATCATTCAAATGAAACACACTTTTGAAAAACTATAATAGGTATAGTTTATGAGATATTCATGATATTTTACACTCTATAAACACTGAGAAAGGAAACACTTACATTACAAGAAAAATGGACTTTTCATACGTATATCTATTTGATACAAACTTTTGTGAGACATTTAACTTCACGTACTTTCAAGTATGCATTTCAAGTCCTGTGTTATAAACCATAATCTCCTGTAGGGAGAGCGTGATACTTGTGTATAGATCTATACGGGATTGACAATCCCACACCTAAACTGTTAGCTACAGTTAGACGGGCAGGTCTGCGGTGACAAACGTCATATCATTTCAACGCCTGAAGAACGTTGTTACAGGCAGTCTGGGTCATTAGCACGGTTATAAAACTCACACAAAGTACCAGAACATTTGATTTACGGGGCTATCAAACGTCTTATTTGTTTATATACACATATAAAAATCTACTTACACTATTTTAGGTATGGAAAATACTTATGCATTTCGGTTTTCGAATCATTTAAAACTACTACACATTTATGGAAAATATTGGATTTTCTAAGAAACCAACACAGTCACTTTTACAGAAAGGCATACAATTTTAATACAAAAACGCTTATGAACTCACCAACTTAATTGTTGACACTTTTTCAAAACTACTTGTATTTCTCAGGGATTCAGTAATACAGGTATAACAACAGCTTTTGGGGAAGGAACGCTAAGGCGTCAATTTCAAACTTATTATATCATCATAATGTAATTTCTTTTGAAACATGTATTACAATCAACAATGTAACTTTTAAATTATATTTATGATGGTTGTATTTGCTTTCTTTACTATTTACTCAACTGTTATGATACTACATGAAGTCATCCACCGTCGAACGATTCCGCCGTTCTGGTTTGGGGGTGTGACAAAATGGAGCTAACTGATATGATTTTGCAGATCCACACGAGTCCCTTGCTGCTAGCTACTTGACCTTCAAGCTCCCTTCACAAGTTCCACCTTCCAAAAGCTCAAAAACACACTCAAATGAAGCTCTCACACGAAATAGGGTTTGCTGGACTCTCTAGAGGCTGTAAGGGAGTAAGGGAGGCTAATGGTTCCTTAAATAGGGTGCAAAACCCCAGAAATTAGGGTTTCACCCTCCAGCTCTAACTCGTCTAGTCACTCTTCCGACTCGGCGAGTTGGTCACTTAAACACGTGGCCCCAAACCCGCTGCTACTCGACGAGTCAGGGAATCCAACTCGTCGAGTAGAACTTGAAACTTGAAAATTAAAACCATAATATTAATACCTGAGGATCAGGGCGTTACAACTGTTTTGGCCCTTCAAATCACATCCTTAAAATAAAGGTTTGCTTTTTCCAAGGTGTGTTCCCACTGAAAGTGGAATGGATAACACCATATTCATCCACAACTTCCTTACTATGGTCAATGTCTTCATCACTATTCCTTTCAACATTGTGTAATTCAAGACACAACTCAAGAACTGATATTCACTTGTCTTATTCATAGGTATGGCTTCATTTGAAATTATTTCATCCACCAAGGCGTGGTTTTTAGTATTGTGGGTTGTTTTAATATTATGGGATGTTTCAGTATGTTTGTTTCTCTTCACCTTGTATTACTGAACCATGCTCATCTTGACTAGCACCTGTAACACCCGTGTTTCTAGGCTAGGCATTAATGATGATGTAATAGTCTAGGCAAACCTTTGTAATTTGTTTTGAAATAATAAGATGTATTATTTGAGTATTATGTGCTTATTGCTTAATTATTACGATTTAATGAATTAAGAATAAAAAAATAAGCGTCGAAAATAAATTTTAGATAAACCCGATATCTATGAAGAAAGTGGTAGTGGTTGAAATAAGGATTCCGAAGATATAAAGAATACCGAAATCCGAGTTATAACGAAGAAGTTATGACCTGTCGAAGTTTCGCGACAGAACCGGCACGACGCTGTGTGACGTAAAAAGTGAATTTACGATAAAGTGCTTTTTAGCCTTAGAAATCTAAATGAAAGTCGTAGTGTTCGTTAAACCGAGAACGTGCATAAAAAGAACGCCCAAATCTGACTTCGTATGAGGAAGTTATGATTTTTCTAAGTTTCGGCTTAGCAGTATGCAGCCCGAAACTCGAATTTTAGATCGAGTGATTTTTAGTCGAAACAACCTAAACGAGAATGGAAGATCTTGTTAATAGTAGTGCAACGGTAAAAAGACAGACGAAATCGGACGTCGGATGAAGAAGTTATGAATTTTTAACAAACTTTTCCTGTCCCGGCCTGTTAAAAATATAATATTAAAAATGAAGTAAAAATTAGCTGACAGAGTCTAAACGAAAGTTGTAGAGCATAATTTCACCTACGCGTGGATATAAAGAACGTCAAAAACGGAGCTCGTATGCAAAAGATATGAATTTTTGAAGTTTTTAAATAAAAATTCGAGCCTTATCCGAGGAGGTACGCCCCCGCGTAGAGACTTACGCCCAACGTTCGCATGGCAGGACCTCGGATTGACTACGTCTCCGGTCTTCGCATGATGGCCACGTAGCAGACACGTCCGAGCCACATGCCCTCCCTTCTGAGAATCGGACACGTAGCCACGTACGCCCCGCGTACAGCGAGACTACGCCCCGCATAGTAAGCTGCTTCGGACCCTATAAAAGGGATGCGAGGCTGCTCGTATTTTGTTTACAAATTCTTACATCTTTCACCCTCTACTCTCCTTTTTACCCACTTTTAATCCCCCGAAGCCCCGATATCATCACCAACACCCAAAGCAAGCCCCGACGCTCCGAAGATCCCGAGAAAAATAGTTTTCGAGCCGAAACTTTGCCCATGTGAAGCCCGTTTTTTTGAGAAAACACCCCGGTTTCATCTGAAAGATTGTTTTAAGAGACGAGGCGTTGCCTAATTATCGTCTTAACAAGTGAGGGTATAGTCATTTTCATCTTACATATAGATATGAAGTATTTTCTATAAAATACGTGCTATGTGTAATTATATTGTTTGTTTATTTTGAGATGGATGTTGAATAAATGTTTTATACAAGTTTTAAACTGTATATGTATTTTTATCTACAAATATGTTAGGTAAAACATGGGTAGATGAAATAGTTGATGTGTGTTAAAATGATGAGAGGCCTCGATGTTGTTGTTGTTGATATTGTAGTCATCTAGCGGAGTATAGATGGCGACCACGGACCTTTCTAAACAGTCCAGTGAAACGCTAGCAGGTTCGCAACCTGTAGGTGTTGGTGAACTATATGTTCGCTGGTGTACTCCATCCCCTCATGGTTGCCTTAAGGACATGTATGGCTGAGGAATCCCCTTAGCTGTAGTGTCCATCCCGATGATGATCCTTAGGCTAGGTCCCTTGTGATAGATGTTTTAGGGACGTGAAGTGAGGATAACGAGAATGGGTAATCAGGGTTATTGTTGGTTGATGAAATTAATAAATTTATTATTTGTGGGTTGAAAACCCTATATGCTCACCAGACTCCCAATGTACTGTATATAGGCCAGTAGTTGTAAATAACTGTTGTAAGACTTATAATGTACTGTTTATGCTTTTGGTCTGTATCGGAACATGACATCCCGATGTTTTGATATATAATGAAAATATATATTTCTTTAAGAAATGTTTTGATAATTTTTTATCATGTTTTGTTTTGGGGACAAATTCCGCAACATATTTTAAAAAGATTAATCTGATTTTATTTTAAAAGCATAAACTAAATCGGTCCTTTCTGGCTTAGAAATTTGGGGATGTCACAGCACCTCCATTATCTGAATCCAAAAAGTCATCTAAACCACCTGAATATGATTAATATATAGGGACATTACAAGGAATTCATAAACATTATTTTTAAAATGAGCATAATCCATATTAGTTTCTATATAACAAATACTGGAGGATAAATGACAATTAGGGATGCATTAATACAACTTCTCACATCTTTCTTCAGTAAAACATTATAGAAAGGGGACAAATTCATCAACTTTCATACAAGCAAAGTCCACATGAGTAGAATAGTGATGGTCACCACCAACATAAGACAAAGGGTGTCAGGCAAAAACACCATTCAAGTTCAATTTAACTCTCAGATTAATCGTTAGTTACGTAGTGTCCAAAAGTAAATATTAAGGTTCGAAATCACTTACATGATACGATCGTGAAAAGTGAAAACCCTAACTTCTCTTCTTTTCGTCTTCTTTAAGGAAACTAAAGAAAACCATGCTCAATAAATAAAGGTGATTTCGTAAATATTATGGTTTGTTTTTTTTCAAGTTTACGTGTGTATTTCCACGTGGATGTTCCAATAACTAGAATTTGGGAAGTCACCGGCCACATCACCTTCTTAACCGCTTCACTTTGAAAAAAAAGATGTCAATGACAGTTTTTGTGAGTTTACTGGCTCTCAAGGCACAAAAATAAAATGGAGGACCTTTTATAACAACACGAAAAACATTATTGTAGAGTTATAACAACGATAACCCAAAAAAATCCCAAGTTAAACTTTTGTAACAAGTACATAGAGACAATGACAACAATAAACTTTTGTAACATCCACATTGTAAAATGCATGTTTATGGAAACGAATTATATATTTTTTATTATCATATTATTCAGTATAATAGTTTTGTCTTCAAAACATTATATTATAAATAAACAAAGATCTATTTCCTTACATAAATTGTATTTCACCCCAACCATGAGTCCATTACCATGTTATGAGTTATGACCTAACATAAGTCCGATGAAAACGTCAAAAAACGATTAAAATTTGGAATTCAAAGGTTGTTGAAAAGACAGTTGTTGGTAGGACGGAAACAACATTAGAAAGAGCAGCTGCCACCTTCCGAAATCTCCGGATGTGGCGCTTTCCTTTCTTCTACTTATTACATTGTTAAACCCACGTCTCATTCTACCAACCCAAGTACTCAATATTCTCTCTTCTCTTTGGAATTAACGAACAAACCCCTCCTTCTCTTCAACTCCACCATGGCCACGGCGGCGGCGATGTCGGCCATGGGATTCACATCCTCCACCTCCAGGGATCTCTCCAAGTTCACCCCCTACCTTCCGATTCAATCCTTCCAACAACCAATTTCTCTTTCTGCTCGAACAACCGGAGCTCTCCGCCACTCTTTCTCATTGAAACACCACCACAACCGCGAGAAATTTCCCATATTGCTTGCATTTTCTGGAGACGGAGGCGATGGTATCGGGAATGGGAATAGTTCCGGAGGCGGCGGCGGCGGGGATGGAGAGAGCGGTGGTAGTGGAAGCGGAGGCGATGGAAACGAGAAGGAGGCGTTGTTGATATTGGCGGAGGCGGGTAGGTCGTTGGATAGTATCCCGAAGGACTTGGCGGCGGCGATTGGGGCTGGTAAAATACCTGGATCCGTTATACACAGGTTTTTGGAGCTTGAAAAGTCGCCATTTTTAAGGTGGCTGCTTCAATTTGGAGGGTTTAAGGAGCGTTTGCTTGCCGATGATCTTTTTCTGACTAAAGTTGGGATTGAATGCGGCGTCGGCATGTTCACCAAGGTATGCCTCGAATTCTCCGATGACCTAATGTTCTTGAAAATTTTCGAATTTAAAGTTCAAAATAAAACACTAGTTATGATCTAAACATGCAAACATACCTCTTAATTTCTCTGAAATATATTCAATATTAGATTAGAAAACTTACTTTGTGAAAATAATTTCAAGAATTAACATGATTTCTTGATCTTTTAGAAGAGGTTGAAGAAAAGTATGACGTGAATTAACATATTGAAACAGGGGAATAATTGCTAATGTTATGTTCTGTATATAATATAAATAAATTCCCCCAATACCATTTTAGAACTTCATCCAATGCAGTTTTAAGTTCTTTTATATGAATTTTCATTTGTAATCATGAATTTTAAGACTAAATTGGTAATAATATTTGTTCCTATAATCAAGAATCAACACGATTATCTCTGCTACCTTGAAATTCAAACAAAACCAAACAAGTGATTTAAAGTATCCAAAAATATATAAATATTGGATGAACTTTTCACTAATGTGGAGATTCTTACCCCCAAAACAAGACATTTCCATTTCATGCCCTTGGAGAGGTGTTTGGGGTAAATCTTTGCAGTTGTTGGGGGCTTAGTATTTTTATTATTTATTAATTAGTTTCCTTTTTTTAATTTAGTTTCCTTTTATTAATTATTTTCCGTCTATTGTAAGAAAACCGTTGACTAATTCTTATAATTAACAAGTTATAGAGTAATAGTATTTATCATGCTCGAATGCACAAATTAAGATGCCCTTTATGGAGAGTTTGAAACAAAAATTATTAGGAAAGAATCTTTATTAACAATTTTTGTGATGATATTTCAGTTTTACGCTGTGCTTGGCTCGCCACATCTAGCTTATTTTTTCGAGTTTTTTTAAGGCTATGTTTGGCGTACTGGCTGAAAAATTAGCTGATAGCTGAAAAGCTAGCTGATAAAAAATTGGTGTTTGGTAAAACTAGCTAAAATATATAAAATGACATAAACAGACATTTAAAAGACTGTGTTTCAATAATTAATTAAGGGGTATATTTGGAAAATTTTTAAAAAAGCTAGCTTATAAGTTACTTTTTGGCTTGTCAAACATGACAACCTAAAAAAGCTCGAAAAGTAAGCTAGCTTATGAGCTTTTCATGAGCTTTTTTAAAAAATTTCAAATATACCCCTTAATTAATTACATAAAACATATTTTTCTAATTGCCCTTTTATGTCATTTTATACATTTCAGCTAGTTTACCAAACGTTATTTTTATCAGCTAGCGTTTCAGCTATCAGTTAACGTTTCACATAGCAACTAGTTTTTCAGCTATCAACCTTTGTGGTGAAAATCAATGCATCATATGACTTGAGTTGGGGCAAAATAGACATTTAACACCTGATTTTTTTTTCCGCATAAACATTTTCATGAATCAACATAAACACATAATAATCTTTTTATATAAACATACATCTCCAGACTGCTGCAGAATACGAAAAGCGAAAAGAAAATTTCACCAAGGAGCTGGAAATTGTTTTTGCAGATGTGGTAATGCAATAATACATATTCCTACATTTCATATTACATATTTATTATTAATTAATAATTATCAATATCTTCTTCAACATTTGATAATTTCACTTAAATTTTATTCCCAGGTGATGGCTGTAATTGCAGATTTCATGCTTGTTTTTCTTCCTGCTCCTACTGTGTCTCTTCGACCTCCAATCTCCATGAATGCTGGAAGCATTGCAAAGTTCTTCTATAATTGTCCAGATAATGCCTTCCAGGTTTTTTATTTTTATTTTTTATAATCCAATTTTAATAAAAGTTTTATAATTTATAAATTATAATCATGTAATCTTTTTCATACATTCTTCAGACTGCTTTGGGTGGAGCATCATATTCATTGCTTCAGAGATTGGGGGCTATAGCAGTATGAACAAAACACTTAATATTATATTTAATTATTTATATTATATATATTGTTTAAATATTAAACTTTTTTGATTTTGTTTTTTCAGCGTAATGGGACAAAACTATTTGCTGTGGGAACTGCTTCATCGTTTGTAAGTGTATATTTATATAAAGTGTTTGAATAAAATTTTGGAATTTTTTTATTGATTTAAAAAAATGTGGTTAGGTGGGGACAATTATGACAAATACATTGATAAATGCGAAAAAAGCTGTTCAGAAATCTGATGATGATGAGCTGGAGAATATACCTGTTTTATCTACTAGTGTGGGATATGGTGTTTACATGGCGATTTCTAGTAATCTCAGGTAATGACAGACATTCAAGTTTCAAGATTTGATCTTTTTAAAAAAATAAATAAAAAAGGTAGTGTCTTTTGTTGTTTTTTTGGAAGAAAGATGATTTAGCATGAAAAAAATGTGGTCTTTTCTTGCAAAGATGCAAGAAAGATGATTTTACAAGGTAAAGGTATGGTGTTTTCTTGTTTTTTTTGCAAGAAATATGATTTGACACAGTAAGTTGTACTCTTTCTTTTGTGTTTTTGCAAGAAAGATGATTTACACTGTAAAAAGTTGTATTTTCTTGCGTTTGTGCAAGAAAAGATGAAAATACATGGTAAAAAATGTAGTCTTTTCTTGCGTTTTTGCAAGAATGAGGATTTTACACAGTAAAAAATGCGGTTATTTTTTGTGCGTTTGCAAGAAAGATGGTTTAACACAGTAAAAAATGTGTTATTTTTTTTTTTGCAAGAAAAATGATTTAACACATTAAAAATTGCAGTCGTTTATTGGGTTTTTGCAAGAATGATTTTACACTGTAAAAAATGTAGTCTTTTCTTACTTTTTTGCAAGAAAGATGATTTGACACAGTAAAATTGTAGTCTTTTTTCGTGTTTTTACAAGAAAGATGATTTTACACAGTAAAAGATGTACTCTTTTCTTGCGTTTTTGCAAGAAAGATGATTAAACACAGTAAAAAATGTAGTCTTTCTTGCTTTTTTTGCAAGAAAGATGATTAAACACAGTAAAAAATGTAATCTTTTTTCTTCTTACAAAAAGTTTTTTATTGAACAGATATCAACTTCTTGCGGGTGTCTTTGAACAACGGCTTCTTGAGCCATTGTTACACCAACATAAGCTAATGCTGAGTGCAGCCTGCTTTATTGTTCGAACAGGGAACACATATTTGGGTTCATTATTGTAAGAATCATCGACTTTTTCTTGTTATGTTTCTTGAAAAAATTGCTCTTTTGATTGAAAATTTTGACAATGTTTGAAAACAGGTGGGTGGATTATGCACGTTTGGTGGGGCTTCAGAAAGCTCATGATGTTGAATGAATGGGTTAGGTGGATTAGCCGACATCATCCAGATGTTCTGGATTAATGACTGTATCTGAAAAGGGGTTGTTGCTAATTCCCTTAAATTGTCAAGATTTTGGAAATTTTACTTTTGTTTGGTTTTTAAGACGATGTTATGCGACTTCTTTTTTGCAATTTCAATAGTTCTTGACTTGGAAATGCACGAGTTTTCTTGTATTTATATGGTGCTGATGATATCGAGTTTTGTTTGACATGAAACGAGAGTTTCTTGCATATTTGTTGTGCTGAATGATACTTAAGTCATGTATTATGGGGAATTCAGCATAGTAATGAGCATCTATTTATTAGAGGGGTAATTTAGGTATTTCACTTGTGTAGTTTGTTGCAAACTTGCAATAGAGTACTTAAGTGGGTAGTGGGGAGGAGAGAGAGCATTTTTTTGGTGAAAATCTGGTAATTCTACCATTGGGAAGGTTAGGCTTTCGAATCACTAGCAAATCATTAGGGTTACCATATTCATATTGGTATTTTTTTTGGAGATTTCAATCAATACACCAAACCTTTTGATTATTGTTCTTGTTATTGATTACTTCTTAGGTTCATAGCAAATTGGTATCCAATTTCATCAAAGGTTTGAACTTATAGAGTACATAGCATTTCAACTTCAAGATTGACAATTGATTTGAACTTTCAACAAATACTAACAATGGAGAAACATGAGAAGTCACAAGTTAGATCAAAGATGTCTAACTTTATCTCGTATTTTGGAACATGAGGAGGAGCATCTATTTGGGTATGCCCTTTTATGGTGAATCATATTAATATAACATATGGTTGTTTTTAATTCAAGAAAGACAAAGAATGCAAGCACACCACACTTGTATTGTAAACACTAGGATGAACTTTTTAACCGAAGACCAACTGAACTGGTTGGAAGCGATTAGTGGTATTTGGTCCGTTTTCGGTTCTCCCGATCCATCAGTTTCAGTTTTCGGTTATTTTGGTTCCAACCCGGGTCGGTTCCAGTTCCAAATACCTTCTTAGATAACACATTTTTTAGAAGAACTGGAATATGAAACGGTGGGAATCGGTTAGTGATATTCGGTCTGGTTCTCGGTTCCTTGTTCAATCGTTAATCGGTCTTAAATTATTCTGGTCTTTAGTTATTCTGATTCTGGAACCGACCTAGTAGACATTGTTATACCTTATTTTTGGGTTGCTATGAGCCCTATACAAACATGTTTAATCAATATTACTTAAAATATTATCTTACCTTATTATAGCTAACTTGTAATTTTAAAACAAAAAATTTATCTTTTAGGAATGAAAAAATATATTTGGTTAAGGATAGTCTAAGGTTTAAACTGTTGCTGAAAAAAAAAATTATTTGAAAAGTATTCAACTTGTCGATAAATATAAAAAATGTTATAAAAAGATAAGAAATACGAGTTTTTGTTGTTCCACATGCTCAATCCGGTTTATCAGGTCATACTTTAGTTTTACGTCTCTCGTCCTAATTTTAATTTGTTATTAATTTGGTCTAAACTTTAAGGTTTGTACGAATATGGTCAAAACTTTTAATTTTTGCAAATTCGTCCTAAATTAGTTTTGTTTTTTAAAACTTTTTTTAGCCTTTTTAAATTGTTTTTTTCCAATTTTTTATAACTTTTTACAACATTTTTTAAGATTTTTTTGAAACTTTTTTACAACATTTTTTTATAAAGTATTAAAAAGGTTTGTATACAACTTTTTTTACAATTTTTTTATAAACTTTTAATAAACTTTTTTTTAAATAGTTTTACAAACATTTTTTACAACACTTTCTAAATTTTTTGAAACATTTGTATACTTTTTATAACATTTAGATATTTATAAAAAGATTAAAAGGTTGTATTAAAAAGTATTAAAAAGTTTTGTTTACAATTTTTTTTATAAACTTTTAATAACTTTTTTAAAATAGTTTTACAACATTTTTTACAACCCTTTTCTAAATTTTTTTACAACATTTTTATAACATTTAGACATTTATAAAAAATGATTAAAATGTTGTATTGAAAAGAATTAGAAAATATTTTTATACTTTTTCACAATATTTTTATACTTTTCCTACAACACTTAGATATTTATAAAAATATTAAAACCTTGTATTTATAATACAATTTTATAACTTTCTACAACCTTTTTTACGACTTCTTTTTAAAACATTTAAAAAGCTTTTTTCTCTCATATCTCTCATCTTTTTACGAAATTAAGTAAAATCTAAGTTTCCATGCTTAAATTTATTTGTTTTTCTTTGTTTTGATTCAATGTTTGTTTTATCAGTTGTGAATTTATTTGTTTTTATTAGCTTCAAGGTTGTGAATTTGTTTATTTTGTATGTTATAATTGTCTTATCATGATTTAATTGTGGTTGGATTCATTTTTTATTGCTGAAAATTGGAACTCTAGATCGTTGATGATGTACTTTCTTAAAATTGAGTTATATCAACTCTAATAAATGAAAGTTTTTTTTTTTTTTTTTTTTTTTTTGCCACATTTCACTCTCTCTTTCAATTTGCCAAATGTCATTTTATGATTATTTTGAATTTTTTTTTCCACATGTCGTTTTATGGGTTTTTCTATTTTAATAAATTCCACATAATACTTTAATGTAATAATTACAATAAATGTAGTAATAAATGAATATCAATTTCATTAATAGACTTACCTTTTTATTTCAAAATTTCCAAATTAAAGCTCATTAGTTTATTTTGTATATTTATTTAAATTTAAAAGATAAAAAAATCAATTTTAATAATTCATTGTTTTTCTTATTTTTTTATAAATTCAAAGTTCTTGAATATTTAGATCTTTATATTTAAATTTTTTTAATTAATCCATGTAATAAATGAGTCTTACACCTAATGAATTGATATATTAGGTGTTGTTTTTGTTTCTTCCATTTATGTTACTTGAGAATCGGTGTTGTCTTGGGATGAGGAAGATTTGGTGATAACTCACAGTGGAGGATTGTAAGGATAGTGGTGTTGATGATGTTCACATTGGAGGTGGTTTGTGATCATAGGCGGAGATAGCAGGGGGCTGCCGGATGCTCTGCCCCCTCAATCTCCTTTAAAAGTCCAAACTATAGTATACCCATGTATGTATAATTTGAAGTCCACATAGGTTTTTTGTGATAAAAATCCTCTGCCAATCTTTATTAAAATTTCAGTTAATATATAGAAAAGTAATAGGGTTATGACTACAAATAAACTTGGGGCCCACAATTAAAATCTCATAGACTTAGTACTTCACCCATATTTTAGTTATCGATTTACCTCCATTTACTTTAATTTGTTTAATTTAATTAGTTTCATTATGGGTTCTTTTAACCACTGATTAACCAATATAGTACATAACTCTTATATATGTAAGATTTTTTTTTACACTATCATCCAAGACCTACTTCGGACACAATATAAGCCCCCGTTATCTTTCAATCCCGGCTTCACCCCTGTTTGTGATAACATGTTAATGAGTTTTATTGAAAAGGATTAAAATTAATGATAAAAATTAAAAGAAATACATAATTGAGGGTATAAGGGTCATTTTCTCTAACTTATTAAAGCAAACCAAATAGGTGTTGTCTACATGGACGAAATCCATAATGAAACCTTCAAATAAGACATTTTTGCAAGTTGAATTTTTTTTAGACCCTGGTAAGAGAAAATAGCAAACCATATGAATATTTTTATAGTTTTCTATATATAATAAAAACACCTAATTGATAAATAAAATATGTTAAAAATTATATTAATATAATTGACAAGCAATGTTTAAGATGGATTGGATTGCAAAAAAAAAAATTATTCTTTTTTTTTACAATATGGTTCATCTTATTAGTGTGTCGTACATAAATGATCATCGATACAATGCGAGATGAAGAATGAGATTTATTGATATACAACCCTTCTCAGACTTATTGCGGACCTAACCATCATTTAGGTATAAAAGTAATGTCCCATATCATGCATAATGGCAATATCCCCAATGGGATCAATTATATTATACTCTTAAAGTCACTCTAGTAACCCGGTTTGAAGAAGACATTTAATTGTGTATATGTGCTAGTAATAAGTCTGAACAAGCTACATGCATCGACTAACTCCCACTTCAAACTTGGGGGACTTATTGATATACATCCCTTCTCGGACTTCCTTTACACCTTATTGTTCGGTTCTGTCATTTTGGTTTTGAACATCCAAATACGGTTCGGTTCTTCCATGTCGGTTAGTATAGTGAATAGTTGGGCCCCACCCATCATATAATACAAACAAAAGTCACAAAGACAACAATCATACACTGACACCTCGTGTCTGATGTGCACAAATATACCTACCAATTTTAAATTTATAAACCTAACCTAACTTAACTACTGATGCACTTATAGGCAGTGTACCTAGTCATTTTATAATATAGAAAAGTATGTCGGGTATCGATCACAGGGAACAATATTTAGCTAATAAAATAAATACTAAAAATTAATCTAAAACAATAACTAAAATGGGGGGGGGGGGATTCTAAATTTGCAAGTTTATATTAACTTAACTACTTAATTAACTCAAAACTAAGCAAACAATTAACTAAGATGAATGTAATCAAGATAATGAAGATACTTTCGTTTAGCTTGGAATCCCCATTTTTCATATGGTCAGTTTATTAATCATGGATTTATTCAGTTGGTTACCAATATAAATATTATTAAGAATCTTGATACGATCTCCTAATATTTTCACTAATTCATGTGCAATGATCATACACAAGTGAACATAAAATTGATTATTTAAGATTATTGGGCTATATAAGATATATCTAGGATAATTATCTATGATCAAGACATATTACCAAACATAATTATGATCAAATTATGTTCTCTAACACAATTAAAGTTGTTATATTTATTACTTAATCTAAGATTTGGTAAATTCTAGCTCTAGCAATTTAATGATCATAAACACCTAGGTAGACAAGTTCATGCAGTTAAAGTGATGATTCAACTACACTTAACTTGAATCTAAGCAATAAAGATTAAAGTTTTAAACATGCTAGGTATTAATAATCAAACATAAGCTAAACCAACTTCATAAAATCCATGAAAATAGAAATTAACACATAGTATTATGGTTCATCTACACTAAACAAAAACCTAATGATTTAGCTCCACATTATAAAAAAATAAACACATAAAAACATAAAAATTTAAACTATACATGATCAATCTAATGCAAACCGAATGTGGTGTATGAATCCTTGCAATAATCTTCAAAACTCGTAATCTCCAGTATTCTTCTCCTTCCAAGGGTTGTTTTTCGCAGCTTTTCTATCCCAAAAGTCATCTAAAAAACCTTAGAAATCTCTCCCATTCGTCCTTAAGTCGATCTAACAAACGATATATATAGTTTCCATAAAACACTCCCCACGTCGTGACCAACACGGTGTCACGACGTGAATTTAGTACATATCCGTATTTGACAAGGAAACTTGCTTCTCCGCGTAGAATCTTTTGGGACATAATCTCATGACGTGAATGACAATGGCTCACGTCGTGAGCTTCTATTTCACATACACAATCGAGATGTTTCTTGATGCCACGTCGTGGTATTCATAAGGCCACATCGTGGGACTTATTTTTGTATGATCTTCTCCTTTTTTAAGCTCCAAGTTCAACTCTAGTCCTTCGAGTATCCCGTTTTTGTCGTTTTCAGTCCTTTTTCTTCAAGAGTAATCTTTTTTGCTGCCAAATAGAATTCAACTTACTAAGTACAAAAATATCTTTGCAATTAACCAAAATACAGATTAAAATGTATTAAAATAATGCCTAAATATATGTATAATGTAACATCCCAAAATTCATGACCAAAAATTTCATTTTTAATATAGCGAAAACACATTTGTAACTTGGTTCACACATTGAAAAGCAGTTCAAATAAAACATTTATCAGAGTTCATTCCCAAAAATCACATATTGCAGAAAACATATGTGTATGCACTGCGATCGTCCCGAGCTCCTTTATTTGAAAACTGGAGGTACCTGAAACCAAAACTGAAAACCGTAAGCACGAAGCTTAGTGAGTTCCCCAAATACCACATACCATACATATCAACATACTGCCTAACATATCTGGGTGCTGGCCTACCCATTCAGTCTCTTTCAATCGGATACTGTCTAGCATATAAGCACATAAATCACATACTGTCATACATAACCATGAGCCATACATATCATTCATATAACATAATCAATAAAGATGCTTTGTGTTGAACATAGTCTTCCCATTATGCCACGGGCCACCACGTGGTCTTTCTTGCCAAGCCGGGGGCCACCCCCTGGGTCTTACAGACAAGTGCCAAGAGCCACCTCCTGGTCTTCCATGCAAGCATCACAAAGACAACTAGCATACATACTACTCTACTTAGCTAATTAGCATACAGTATACCAGGAGCCGCCTCCTGGTCTTTCATACATAATGCCTAGGGCTAACTCATGAGTCTTCCTACTATACATAAACCAAATGGCCCAACATTGGTGCCTTCGACCCATCCAAACAGTGAGGAGACTCACCTCGAATGCTGAAGCATACTGCACGAAATCCTTAGCTGCTGCCCTAACAATTCCCCGAGCTATCCATACCAAAACATCACCCAATTAGCAATTAGGTTCCAAACCATGATCCATAATCCTTACTTGGGGTGAAATGAATGTTTCACCCCCGACCCATCAAGGCCCAAACTATAAAATCCATGAAAGCCCATCAATGGCCCAATTTTCCAAATTGGGCCTAAACCCTTACATGGAACTCCCTTTAGAACCCATTTCGTACTTCATAGCCCTACAGGGGTCAACCTTGGTCAAAGTCAAATCAAGGTCAAAGTCAACATCCAAGTCAAAGTCAAAGTCAAAACACTCCGAGTTTACTCAACTCGTCGAGTTTTTCCTTCAACTCGGCGAGTTCCCATAAACCACAGGATCGTGATAGTTCGAATCAACTCGTCGAGTTATTCCTTAACTCATCGAGTCCTTTCCTTTTTAACAGATACTCACATCAACTCGCCGAGTTCCTTCGTGAACTCGTCGAGTTCTTCAGTCTGTTTACTCCTTCTTAATGCATTAAGCCTTTATTCTTCAGATTTGAACCCAATAGTCTAGATCTAGACTGCAAATACCTTTTAGAAGGGTAAAGTTTCCAACTTTACCCATTAATCCCTTCCTAAAGAGAATAAGCTCAAACCCTAACCTAAAAAGGGCCAAGGTCTTAATCCAAAACCACCAAAACTACAAGGTAGACCATGAGGTCATAAATCCGGACCATAAGAACCAAAATATCACGTAAAGTTCCTAGCTTTCTCTACATGCATGGCCATTAGAAGCTCAAAAGGCCAAAAATGACGGCTTAAAGGTTACATGGGACTTCCATGGCCATAAAGTTGGCACCTTTATGCCATGAAAGTCCTACAAGACTCTAGATCTGAAATGCTTTCCATTTGGGACGTCCAACTCTTAAGGACCATATCATTTGGACCAAAAACAAGCAAAATGTGCTAAGAAAGAGATCTAATCAACTATTAGGCAAGTTTGAGACTTGATTATCATAAAGTGACGAAAATGGAGTGAGGTTTCTGGATCTAGCAACTCTTCCTTGTTCCTTCAAACTTTCCTTCCTTTCAAGAGCTTCAAACACCCACAAGAACACTCAAAATGGATCACAATCACTCATAATAGCATTAGGGTTTCGAAATATAGGTTTAGGACAGTGGATGCTGGAAAATGAGGCCAAACCCTAAAGCATACAATGTTTAAATAGGGTGCAAAATCTCGGATCTACGGTTTCCCAAACCCCGTCCAACTCGTCGAGTTGGTCCTCCCCAACTCGTCGAGTTGGTCTTTAAATTCCCGCGTGCCCAATTATTCCAACACGTCGAGTTCTCACCCTTGAACTCGACGAGTTGGCCTCTTAATTGAAGAATTTCTTTCCTTAATTAGCCTTCTGAATTCCGGGTGTTACAACTCTCCCCCACTTATACTAGATTTCATCCTCGAAGACTGCTGCAGTCACCTACCCTGGTTACAGCTCCCGCGGCATGCCTGCGGCCACCACTAGCTGCCATGAACCAACTGATGTTTTCGATGAGTACTAACACTCGCCATCCCGAGGGTACTGCCATCACCCCGCACAATGAATGACCTTCCCAAGGCAACCAAGACTCCTATCTTGGAAATAACACCCGAACCTTCAACCCTTGCAAACCACTTCTACTTTCTGAGACTTGAAATCTACAATAACCTGACTTTCCGACAATTTGCCCTTGTTGAAACCACTTTCTGCCAACTCTCAACATGTTGCTGACCAATCATAACTCTTCCAACACTGATCTATCCAAATCTGCTGAAACTATCCTCAGAATAGTTCCCTGAATCCGATGAAGAACGAATCCTCATATCTCGAATAGAAACCGACCCCACTTATCTGGTGTCCGAAACCTAAGTCTCAATGGTCTGACTCCCTGCCAGACCCTTCACACCGAAATGCCACCAAGCCATCCTCATAGAGTCTCGCATCACACAAAATGCTCCCAATCCTTGACCACATTGTCATCCCAAAGGAGACAAGGTCACTGACCATATATCGCTAAAGAACACTTAACTCGATAGGAGGCTCAGATAATCCTTCGAGTAGAAGATTCATCCCTGCAACGGTTAGACTCAGACGAGAGCTGCGCAACAGGGTCAAATCAATTACTCTGAGATTATTTAATCCAACTGCGAGTGACTTAGCGCCTTCCTGTCCACAAGCTACTCTACGCAAAATCCCAGAGCACTATCGCTATCCGGAATACTTTTGGATAATTAGAAAAAGGAAAATGAATGTTTGGCTAAAAGATAATTAGTGTTTTGATCGAATTAAAAAATGAAATTTTTACCTCGTAATTTTGGGACGTTACAAGAAACCACATATCAAGCAATAAGCTCACCATCTTCTCCTTACAATGTATCACCAAGCTCAAAACACCAAGAACACACACAAGGATTAAAGTTTCTCTCTGGATGAAGAGGATGAAGATAGAGCAAACCTTAAACATCTCTTTTCTTAAATAGGGCCCAAGGCCCGAGACTTAGTGTTTGGGTTGTGGCGGCCACTACGTGGCGGTGTACACCTTACCGTGCTGCTACTTGAATGACGTGGCTGCGACACGGTACCATAACAACCGCGCCGTGACCAAAGGTTTTCCCCAAAAACACTCAAAATCCTAAAGTCTTAAGCCGATTGAACCAGAAAACAGATGTTACATGCTGTCTATCATTCCCATGCATATTCCCATTGTCGGACATATGCTCCATCCCAAGACAAAGGTATCATAACTTATGCTCTCCTCCCTAAGTTAAAAGGTATTTATCCTCTTATAAATACATATATCCATACAAAGTACAGAAGATACCGAGAAAGATCCATGAACTCTCTCATATACATCGTACATACACACGATCAATTCTTTTCCACTAAAAGGAACCGATCCATATTTTGCATAAATTCTAATTAAATTGTCAGAGGTCATTCCCATGATGAAAGTACTGGGGTGACTCTAACGATCATGTTGATAAGTGTTACATGTTTCAAATCGAGGCTCACTAATGAAATTATACTACATATCCATTATCTTGACTTAATCAACCTCGTGGCAATTTTCCATGTTACATCAAGATCGAAGATGAAAAATAATATCTAAAGCAGACAAAAACACAAAAATTGTGCTAATTTGACAAAAAAAAATGTGTTTCCAATAGAAGGCATGTGCTTGGTACATGTCATGATAAAAGATGCTTAAAAATCATGCACAAAATTGTTACAAATAACTTAAATTAGCATGATATTAAAGCAATTTTAAACTTCTAAACTAAATTTGTAAATACAGAATACTTGAGGGTGACAATGTGTAACTTTATCTAAAATAATTTGTATTCAAATATGCAGGGGGCGAGGTTTCACACGCTATAGGCGTCAAAACGCCACTTATAATATAGGGTTTCAGCAAATTAGGGTTTTCACATCGCCGATCAACAGCTGAGAATGGAGCTAGAAGTCGCCGGTGCTACCGAATCACTTGTCACAGATCCATCAAACGCGGTGGCGGTGCCACAATCTCTGTTAGTAATAAGAAAATTAGCTTCCTGCAACACCGGGGCGAGGACAAAAGCTCTCCGAGAACTCACCAATTGGCTTCCGACACAGCTCGAAATCTCCGATGAGGAAATGAAAAAGCTCTGGAAAGGGCTTTTCTACTGCATCTGGCACGCCGATAAAGCTCCCGTACAATCAAATCTCATTAACAGGCTCTCGTCCATGCTTCTAACCCTGGACGTCCCGCTCTCACTCCATTACCTCTCCGTTTTCCTCACAACGCTCCGTCGTGAATGGTCGGGAATCGATGTCCTCAGGTTAGATAAGTTCTACCTTCTTATTCGCAGATTCGTAAATTGCAGTTTTCAGTTCCTTAAAAAGAATTCATGGGACTTGGAACTGACTTTAAGAGTGATGACTATTTACCAAGAGAAGTCCTTGTTAGCTAACGAGAAGAAATTTTTGGGAAATGGCGTTAACTATCACATCGTTTCGGTTTTTCTCGATGAAATCAAAGGTTATTTGCCTCTAAGTATCGAAACATATGAGATTCTGCTTAAACCCTTGTTCAATGTCATGATTAATTCTCAAGACAAGGTGTTGCTGGGTAAGATTAGGAATACTGTTTTCGAGCCTTTGTTGTGTATGGGGAAGAGTCTTCTCGAGAAGATGAAGAATCACGAAACTGAGATTGACACCGAGGTTATGAATTTGGGTACAATAGCTCTAAAGATGGGGTTTTCAGCTAAGTTCTATGAATTCGGATCCTCTAGTGACTGTTTTCAAGGAAACAGGAAGGTTTTGTTTGGTTTACAGAAGGAGTTCCTCAAACTAGAGAAGGACATGGAAGTTTCTGGTATTAAAGTTCCACTTCCTGCTCTCCAAGTTGATAATGCAGATGAAGAAGTTCCTGATTTAGTCCCCATTATCACCAATGGCAAACAGAAGCTATTGAAAGTGTCTGAAACTGTTGCAGAAGGATCTAAAAAGTCTTCAAAGAAAAAGAAGAAGAAGAAGACGACTCCTGAGGAGGGTTCAAAAGAAAACAACAATGACAATGTGATTGTTCCCAATGGGGAAGATGTAAATGTAAGCAATGGAATAACCAGTAATGGGAATGATATTACTTTCGGAGATATCTTCAAAGCAAATCTTCAAAAGGAATTTGAAAAGGTAGCTGAAGAAGAAGGCTTAGATAAAGATGGTGAATCAAGTCTACTACATGACACATCACCAATCACAATCACAAACACTAAAGCTCCCAAAAAGAGAAAAAGAATGAAGAATGGTGATGCAAAGGAGTCTCAAAATCCTGAAACTAGTGAACAAAATACAAATACTGCAATGAAGAGTGGTGATAAAAGTGCAAAAAGGGTAAGATTTTCAATCAAGAACAATTTGGTATGGAAGCCACAGAGTCCATTGCCACCTCAAAGCCTTAGAATCCCGCCATCTGTGACGCCACGTGGCAGTGCTTTAAAGAAAGGGGTGCCACCTGGACCAATCAGAGAGATGCCTTCTGTAGGTAAAAAGATGAAGAAGAAGAAAGTTAGAAAAGTGATGAAGACCACATCCCCTGCTGTCAAACGATTGAGGAAGCTGCAGACTCTTACTCCTTGAGTTTTGAGGTTAGAGGAATTTTTAATGATTGTTCTTTTTTGATATTTTAATATTATTTTGTTATTGATGTTGAGGTTTTATGTTTCTGATGCTTGTGGGAATCAATCCTATTTACTCTTTCGTTCTATAGTTTATGACTTGATATGAATTATGATTTTATGCATTTTTCAATTGTTATATATTTTTATCTATTTAGATCTATATTTTGCGGGTATGGTAATATACAGTTATTTTTTCTTAAAAAAAATCTTTACATTTGATGAATATTTTTGTTTGGATCGACTTTTTGTTTTGACTTGTAATTAATGTTCTTGATGGAGGAATCTTGAGGTTAGAGTCTTTGTTAATTTGGATATTGAAAGTTTTGTATTTTTTAATTGTGATAAAATTGATCAAATGGTTTTGTTTGGATATTGAAAGTTTTGTGTCTATTAATTTGGAGATTAAACTGCTAAACTGAAAATACAATGCCTAAAGAATTTGTTGATTTTGACTTGACATGGATATTGATGGAAGAAAATTAAGTATCAAATAAAACCTAATTAAATTATTATGGATCAAATCATTTCGGAGATTGAAATGTTGTAGTGGAGAAAACATTAAAGTTAGAATTCAAATTTCCAAACATGGATTGAAGTTCGAAAGTTGTTTTTCTGTTCGATTTTGAAAAGAATTTAAGATGTCAACTCAATCTAGACCATTGTTTTTCATCTGTTAAAGCTAAAAAGCTATAAGACTAAGGGGTAGGGGCAGGTTTACACGTCAAATTCTGGATGGCATACATTCTCATCGGTGAACACTACTCAAGTTTATAGTAATTATGTTGTGGAGTGGTTAGCTTCAAGGAAGCTTTTTTAGACCATTCTCTATATTTCTCTCTTCTTTCACATTTTCCTATCTCTTGTTCACTAATGAACACCATTTTCACAACCTAATGACATACTATGGAATGGTTTGACGATGATGTGGCTTCCTCGTCTATATTTTTTTTATTAATAAGGATACCCCTTAGCCTAAGGCTTTGGGGAGTGGTCACACCCACCCCACCGGAAAAGTGCTGTCACATGTGCGCCACGTCAACTTCACACCCAACCCACCACCAACCCACTAAACATTGAAAATGGTTACCACTCCACACATTTCTTTTTTTATTTTATTTTTATTTTTTTAACATTATATTAAATAAAAAACCAAATACAAACCATAATTTAAAATAAAACCATAATTTAAATAAAAAACACACATTACATTAAAATTAAAAACACATTACGTTAATATAAAAAACACAAATTAAAATTCTAAAATTCTTAAAAAAAACATAAAAAAATTAAAATCCTAAATTACTTAAAACCATAAATATTAGAACCTAAATTCCATATTTTTCCTGGACTTGTCGTTGAATTTTAAGAAAGGTCGCAAGATTTTCCGGGTCGAGATCCGGTTGGAGCTTTGTGTTTATGATTTGAAGATCGGTAAGAGCTATTTTTTTGGCGATTAGCTGCCTCCGACGATTCGTATTTTTTTTTTATAGAAAAATTAGAGCTTTATCTATGGATGTCGCAAGCTCGCTGTCGCTAGTTGCCGATGCTTTTCCGCTTGAAGACGCTCCCTTTCTCGCTTTGTCCCGTTCCGGTGGTCGACGAAGTTGGACGTCCGGTGGGCCCTCCCCCTCGGTGGCGTCGAAGTCATCGTTGAGGTCGAGTCCAAAACCCACGTCTGACTTGGACGTTCTTGCCCTTTTGTTGGAACCGATTGTAGATCCCGAATGCGCCATTTCCGGATATAGAACCCATTTTGGACCGTTACGACAAACTTCCCATGCTTTTTGGTGGCCGAACGGTTTACCATTGGTGGTAATTTTGTATTCGTAGGCCGCGGTCGCTAAAATGTTGAAGTCGTTGCTACCACTTCTATGCATGTTTTTAAGCTTGTCAAATATGTCATTGAATTTGGTGCAAGCCGCTCGTAAATCACGCCATTTTGCGTTGATCGAGTTGTACGTCCGCTCCGTTTTCTTTCTTAATAACGCGTGGAAATGATCTAAAATACGACACCAAAAACTTTGACCCGATTGCGAATTGGCGACATCCCCGTCTTGGGATATGAAAATCCAAGCTTTCGCTAAAGCTTCCTCCTCGTCTTCGTTCCATGCGGTAGTTTTTTTTTTCTTGGATCTTTGGTTTTTTTTTTGCCGTCGACGGGTTGGTTGTTGTGTTTCTTGGACCCGTTCGTCGTCGTCGTCATTGTCGAGATTTATAGGTTGAGATTGAGATGGTTGAAATTGTTGAGGTGTAAAAGAAGTTTGCTGAAATTGTTGAGAATGTTGTTGAAAGGGTTGGAATTGGGGTTGATTGAATTGTTGTGGTTGTTGTTGGTAGAAGTTTTGGGGGTATGAAGTGGTGAATAGAGGTTGTTGTTGGATTGGGGAGGTTAACAATTACATGTAGCTAACATTTGCATTTGGAGTGTTTGGGGTGTTTAGATTTGAATCCATGTAGAGAGAAAAAAAATGAGAGATGAGGTTTTTTTTGTAGAAAGTATTAAAATATAGAGAGTGTTTTTTGAAGTGTAAATTGTAAATAGAATATAGGATAATTTATAGGTGTAGATGGTTGTGTTTAAATTGTAAAAAGTAAATTTTTTTTTTATTTTTTATGTTTCAACGGTTATATAGCCGTTCCTAAAAACATCCGAACGTTAGAAAAATGAAGCAATTCCATTGGTCGTCTTCTCGCGTCTCCGGAGCCACGTCACGCGCACCCCACCGACTTTGGGGGTGGTGTTCACGCGTGGGAGAGGCTGCCACCTCAGCCCAAGACGCGTGATTTTTGCTCCATACCGGTTAGCCTAAGCATAGACAATGTCAACAAAAAACACCATTATATAGGTGGATCTTATTTTTGTCCCAAAAGCAATCATTTGAAATTAATGTTAAATCACAAAGAACACCTAATCATAAACAATGTCAACAAAGAACACCGTTATAGCTGGTCCTAAGCTCATTTTAGTTTATATTTTTTCCCAAAATTCTTTTCGGTGTAAATAACCCATGGTTTTCAAGCGGAACTTTTTTTTTTTGACAAAACTGCACGAATGGTCCTTGTGGTTAACTGAAAATTGCCACTTTGGTCTAAAAAAGTTTGGACTAGCACCAGAGGTCCAAACTTTTCATTTTGTTGCGAGTTTGGTCTGATTTTGTTTGAACTTTTTTATAAAGACGATTTTGCCCCTGATTATTTAATATTTTAATTTTCTTTTATTACAACAATTAAAAAAAATTAAAAATAAAAGAAAAAAGAAAATTCTCTCTCTCTCTCTCTCTCTCTCTCTCTCTCTCTCTCTCTCCCCCTCTCCCTCTCCCTCTCCCTCTCCCTCTCCCTCTCTCTAATAAACCAATACAATCAACACATATCCTTCAACACATATCCTTGTTCTTCCCTTCTGCATTCGTTCCCAACCAAGAACATAAGAGCATTCTTGTTCTTTTCATGTATACCTGTAAATGAGAAATACAACCACTCCTTGTTATTGCTTCATCTTCTTTCTATGGCAATTTCAAGCAACGAAAACACAAACCTAAACCTAGTGATTTACAACCCATCGATTCTGTCAAGCAAAACAAACATACACCCATTGATTTCCTGTAAACGATTAACCTCACTCATCCATTCCATTTATCCATTTCTATCAAGAATCAATCAACAAACATTCATATTAACCTAAATCTATTTACTAAACCCCATGGATTTACAGTCAAAGTAAAAAGAAGAGAGATGAAAGGAAACCTGTGATTGTCGAGCAACAAAAACGTCGAACACCCCCCATCGCACCTGCCCTTCTTCCCGTCGAGCTCCACTGCCAAACACACCACCTGTGCCGATGATGCTGCTCTCCTAGCTCAACCGGTTCTCCCTTCCGCATCGCACCTTGTTACCAGAACAGGAAGAGGGAAGCTTCACTGCCTTCCCTTTCCTTCTCTTCGGCCCTATCGATCTCTAGAAATGCTTACGATTCATTGCCGATTTTGAGATTTAGAAGGTTGTAGAGAGAGGTGATTTGAGAATCGAGATCGTCGGGATTGCTTCGAGCAAAGATGAAGTCGTTTTGGCATCAGAATCTTCCTTCGCTAACCTTCTGTCACCCCCCAATAAGAAAACCCTAGACACACATAGGTAGAGTGCCAATCTCTGCAAATTTGGTCTCCGATTTGGCCCTCTCATCCCGAGCGATTGTCGGAAGAGAACGACAGCAGAACACACGCCTCCGGTGTTGGTTCGAAACAGGAAGAGGAATCGAAAACAAGGTTCGTTTGGGGGTCCCGATGAGGTGCCACGAGCAGCAACGATAAAGAAGACGAGGTCGTCGGTGGGTTTTGCTCGACAGAAGAAGAAGAAGCGGGTGCGACGGTTGGTTCGAGAGAGAGGTATGAGAGGCGAGGCCAGAAGGGGATTTTCGGGGAGTGTCGATCAATCGCAAGGTGGGATAACCTCTGGTGCTCGCCTGATTTGAAGAGAGAGAGAGAGAGAGAGAGGAGAGAGAGAGAGAGAGAGAGAGAGAGAGAGAGAGAGAGAGAGAGAGAGAAAGTATCTTCTTTTTTTCTTTTCTTTTTAATTCTTTTTAATTATTGTAATAAAAGAAAATTAAAATATTAAATAATCAGGGGCAAAATCGTCTTTATAAAAAAAGTTCAACACAAAATCGGACCAAAACTCGCAACAAAATGAAAAGTTTGGACCTCTGGTGCTAGTCCAAACTTTTTTGGACCAAAGTGACAATTTTCAGGTAACCACAGGGACCATTCGTGCAGTTTTGTCTTTTTTTTTTTACTCCATACATTGTCTCTCATATTCTCTCATCATATGATATTTGCCTTTTCGATTCAAGTTTACATATTCTTTTTGGTATTCATGGTATTGTAATATTGTGTAATTTTAAAGTTTAGTATTCTCAATCGGTACAACTACTGCAAAGACCGTTGAACTCGAACCGTCTAGACAAAAAAGCGGACCAATTTAAACACACCCCGAGATTGGTCCGAGACCAAACTGAGACCTCTCGTGACCTTTTGCCCTATATATATATATATATATATATATATATATATATATATATATATATATATATAACAAAATCAGTATGTCGTGAATTAATCTTACTTGAGACCAATTTGTTTATCTCTAAACCAATAAAAAAAAACATCAAAACCCCAATCTCATAAAATTATGATAGGGTATGAGGTAGGTTAACAATCTTAGATGTTTTCGAATTAATCTTAATTGAGACCAATTTGTTTATCTCTAAACCAATAAAAAAAACATCAAAACCTCAATCTCATAAAAATATGATAGGGTATGAGGTAGGTTAACAATCTTAGATGTTTTCAAATAAGATCAAGGTTGTTAAAATCGGAATCTTAGGTAGAATCGTTTTTGGGTTTGCAAGATTGGGAAGGAGATCTTAAGATCTCACAAAATAAAACATAATTTTAATTGATTATTTTAAAACATGAAAATATTTCAAACATTTAGTTTTCCGTTCAAAAACCATCAAAACTTCAAAATTTTAGTTACAACTCACAACATAAAATGATAAACGATAAATAGGTAAATGATAAAATACATAAAATGGTAAAGACAAAATTGCAAGAATGGTCCCTCTGGTATGTTAAAACTAGCCACTTTGGTCCAAAATGAGTTTGACTCGCAAGGATGGTCCAATAGTTTCTTTTTGTTGCGAGTTTAGTCCAAAAATTTTAAAATTTTTTATAATGACAGATTTGCCCTTGGTATTTTCCCTTTTTCAAATTTTTATTACAGAAATCAAAAAAAAAAAAAAAGAAAAAAAAAGAAAATCTCTCTCTCTCTCTCTCTCTCTCTCTCTCTCTCTCCTCGACCTGCTTTCATCTCCAACTCGTCTATCTCCCTCGTTTCTCACTTCTCCAGCGAAGAGAGCCACCATAGTCGACTATGGCAGCTCCTCCGCCTTCCCCTTTCGTGACCCACCACCATCCAACATCCCAAATCCAAATCCCCAATGGGTGTTCTTCGTTCTTGATTTTGGATCTGAAATAAAACCCAAATCCAAAAGTTAAAGGTAGGTATGTTCTTGGTTCCAAATTTGAAACGAAGATGAAGAAGGGTAGATCTGAAACAAAATTCACACACAAAACCTTACCTGAAACGAAAACCTACCATCGATTCGAAGAGAAACGAAAACCCACCATTGATTTTGGATCTGAAATAAATCACTACACTTGTTGCCTCCTGTTTTTCTTTCCTGTCGGCGAGAATAAAGAGAAAGGAAGCTGGTGGTCGGAGGGAGTGGCATCATTTGGTGGCCGAAACTCATAACAACAGCGGTGACAACAAGCTGTTTGGGTGGCAGAGCGACGGGAGGAGCTGGGTTTCCTCCTTAGCGGTGCAGTATGACTGGAGAGACGTAACGAGGGTGGTGAGGTCATGTACGTTGGTGAGAGGTGGCGTTGAGCGACTGGAACGGGCGGAACAAGGGTGGCAGTCAACGAGCTCACATCCGTCTCCTTCTCTCGTCATCGTTGCAGATTCAAAGGGGGGGGGGGGGGTGGATGGAGAAGTCGGGAAAGGCAGTGATTAACGGTGGCAGTCGGCGACTACCTTCCTCCGTCGTCGACTGTGGTGGCTCGGACTGGATATGGTGGAACACCGGTAAGTTGGTGGTGATGTTGGCATACAACTGAAGTGAAGTTTATGGTGGTCGTGGTGGTGCTGTGACAGGCGAAAAGGTGGTGGATGTTCACGGTGGTCACCACAGCAACACCACCGGTGTCAAAACCATTGGTGCTCCATTTTTGTTTGTGAAACAGGAAGAAAGGGAAGACGAAAGAGAGAGAGAGGAGAGAGAGAGAGAGAGAGAAGTGGAGTGATGAGAGAGGAGAGAGAGAGAGAGGATTTTATTTTTAATTGTTTTTTAATTGTTGTAATAAAGGAAAATAGAAAATAAAATAATAAGGGGCAAATTCGTCATTTTAAAAAGGTTCATAGGAAATTGGACTAAACTCGCAACAAAAGCTAACCACTTGGGTTGTGGTGACTTGGTAAGGCATGTGGAAGATATGGTGGATAACCTATTGACCCATGTTCAAATCCTGGCACCACTCAGCCCTTGTGGCCATGGAGGTTCGCCTGCAGTGACTTCAGGGCATGAGGCAAAGCTTCATGTTTGCAGCGGGGGATTAGTCGGTGGCGAAAGCTGGCCCGGAAACCCTCGTTAGGGAAGTTCCCTTTCAAAAAAAAAAAAAACTCGCAACAAAACGAAACTATTGGACCCTCCTTACGAGCCAAACTCATTTTGGACCGAAGTTGTTAGTTTTGACATACCACAGGGACCATTCTTGCAATTTTGTCAATGGTAAATTCATTTTTTAATTTTCAACAAAAAAAAAAAAAACTTAAGGGAAGGTAGGATCGGATCGGATCGAATCCTGATCCTACGCTCCCTACCTACAATCCTACGATCTTATCTGTGATCTTACCTTAAATATGATTCAAATCGTTTTTCATGCCTAGGATAATAGGATCCTACGAATAAGATCGTGATTTTGACAACCTTGAATAAGACATTCGAAAACATAAAGAAAAAGAAAGAGAAAAGGAAAGAAAAAAAAGGGAAGTGAGATAAACCAAAGAGTCACATCGACACATTAAGAAGGTGTTTGTTTTTTAAGAGTGAAAAAATATACAATTTGCAAACCATATTTGTAGATATTTGCAAAAAAGGATGTGGCCCAAACGTTTGCAGTCTATAAGAAGAAGATTATTATTATTATTATTTATTTATTTATTTATTTTTAAGTTTGTAGACTACTAAAATAAATTCATAGAACTCTTTTTAAGTATTTGAGTTCATGTTTATAAAGATTAACCTGTGATAACCCATTAACCCTCCAATTTTCTTTGAAAACGTTTAAAATTCATTTTTGACTACTTTATATTGTCATTTCACTTATATTCAATTTGTGGCAGAAGATATGTAAAAAGTATACCGCGCTCCAAAGCAAAATGTGCATGAATTTTCTTCAAAATAAATAAATAAATAAAAATAAAATAATAATAATAATTGAACAAAATGATACAAGTTAATAATGATGGTATTGATATATTGCTCCAAATTCAGCCCTCCATGCCTGATCATCGTCTTCACTCTCATGTGCTTTTACATCCGCGTCTTTCTTGTACAAATCTCTCAACAGAGAAGAGGGAAATTAGAGAAAGAAAGCAAAACAGAGACGGTGAAATTACACCGCTAAAAAAGACATTTTATCGAACATATAGAGTGTATCATAATGGTTGGATGCCAATAAATTCACAGCAATAGATAGCAACCCATACAGTCTAAAGAAATTAGATTTTAGCTATTTCAAAAACGATTTCAACTATTAAAGAAAACTACATGAAAGTAGAAACAAACATGAAGCCATTTTAGCTATTTTAGAAGCAATTTCAACAATTCTAGCTATTTTCAGAAACAATTTCAACAAACCTACTATAGAAGGAAGAGCGTGGTCTAGGAAGAAGCAAGCAATGGGAGCAACGTGAGAAGGAAGGTGGTCGACAGGAGATCTGATGCGATGGAGAGGCGGTCGGCGGCTGTTATTGGCATCTTCTAGACGGCGGCAACAGAAGGGAGATGAGGAAGATGACCGGTGAAGGAAGGAGGCGTTGAATGGTGAAAAAGAACTATGGGGACGCCGATATGTCGAGAGAAACAGATGGGCTGCATTATTATTATTATTATTATTTTTTTTTTTTATGTTTTGAATAGAATTGTGCAGACCTTAGAAGACTCAAGGCTATATTTGTGCCATGAAGACCCTCGTAGATGTTTTTACGTCTCCAGTTTTCTGAAAAATTCACCTCAATTCCTTATGTCTGCATGGTTTGCACGATGCAGACAAAAGAGGTCATGCAACTCTGTAGACAAAAAACGAACAACTAACACACAAATTAAATGTCAAACCACCATCAAACAATAATTAAATAAAAAGCAAATTATTGAAATGGTTATTGTGGTTTGGTTAGAATCACAAGTTCCAACATTTAAAAACTTGATAGGTGGTGTGTCCTCGTGGTTTCTGTTGGTTCAGGCCCTGTTTCACACAGCAAAAACACATAGAGTAAAAAGGAGAAGATATGGGGCAATTTTTTGTGTTATTCCAATCCAATTAACTCATCGATTACAAGGTTATTTAAACAACATAATTCCAACTACTTATCCTAAAATGACTGCAACTACTGTCCACTAAATCTCTAGAGCTAACGTGGCCATTTACTTAGTCATACTCCTAATAAAAGACTAAAATGCCCCTGAATAAAACACGTACCTTTCACATGGTTTGGATTAACACCAACAGTTTCAAAACATTATGGTGGTCCATGATCAATATACAAAGACTATTATAGCATTTTTAACATATATTACTTTTCTTTATTACATATTTATAATTAATAATAATAGAAATTTAAGAATCCCTATTCATCCCGTCGTCTACATCTCCAAACCACACCAATGGCATTCTCACGATTAAAGTGATTGTTAGTGCATAACCGTGATGATTGTGGTTTTGATTGTCGACAGAAAGGAGAAAGGAATATGAATATAGTGATTTATTAAAGAAAAATGTGTTGGATGGAGGGTATCGTGGGTGGGCAAACTATATTAAAATAATAATTTATTAACTAATTATTAGATAAAGAAAACCTAAAGTTAATTACATAAACATAATAGTCTTTTCATATAGATGAAAAACGAATGTTATAATTTGTTAAAACCATACAAACACAACCTATCAATTTTAAAAAAGGTAAATTACACCAATCGTCCCTCGTGCATATGACAGAAAACGTGTTTAGTCCCTATTTTCAAAAATTAACTCGGACCGTCCATCGTTTGCTTAAAACGTGCACGCTTCGTCCCTGATATACATTTTTGTTGCGAATGTAGTCCCTGACAGATCTAAAATGACCATAATGCCCTTTGTGTATTTCTTTTCCATTTAATTTAATGTTATTATTGTTATTTTTATTTTTTTTTAAAAGAAAAGGGTAAACATATCATGCCTACCCACCCCCGTCCCATTTGTCCCTTCCCAAATCCAAATTTGCCTCACACGAACCTACTCCCCTTAAAGTAAAAATCTGGCCACCGGGCCACTACCTTGCACCACTACCGGAAAATGGAAAACCGTCGAAAATCTTCACCCCATTTCTCTCCTTCTATCTCGTACACCTGGATCTATCTCTCTACAACTTCACCAAAAAAAACCCAAAATTCTCGTCAATCGCAAACCCTAATCCCAAATTCTTATTAAATCTATTAGCTTTAACGAAACCAATTCAATCTTTTACCTGGCCTTGTAGAGCAATTTAAGATCACTCCGATCAAATCTGATTCCAAGATCAGGAATCTTATTATTGATCTTGAGATAAATCGCTTCATCAGGCTAGACACCAAGCACGAGCTCATTTGTAGCCTTCTCCAAATCCATTTCAAAGTTTTGTTTGTAAAGATTACCATGAACACGCCGATTTAAGCGTTAGGAAGGAGGAGACACATCTGGTGACCGATTGGAGGGAGAAGAACATGGGCTATAACACAAAGCCTCGCCAACGTATTCTCTTACCACTTCATCCACCATTTTATCGACCTTCATTTATAACATATTTACAGACGATGAGGGAACGAGATATGAGCTTGAAAGTAGGTGCAGAAGACGAGGACTTTTCTGCTGCCATCGCCGGAGAAAGGATGAGGAACTTATGTGGTCTCG